ATTTCATAAATTTGTAAAAATTAATTTAAATTTAAAGTGAAAAAATATTTTAAATATAATGAATTCATTTTCAACAAAGGTCAATAAATTCAATAATCAAAGAACTGTCTTTTTAAGAAATGATTCTGGAACAAGATACCGATATAGAAAAAAAATTGACCTCAATTCCTACTGTTACAGCTACAAAAATTTGATATGGATTATAGACCTAAATGTAAACGCTAAAACTGTAAGTTTTCTACAAGAAAACATTAAAAAAATACCTTTGCAACCTTAGTGCAAACAAAGATTTCCTAGGCAAAATAAAAACAGCACTAATAAAGATGAACTTGATAAAGCAGACTTCATCAAAATTAAAAGCATCTGCACATCAAAAATGAGAAAATGAAAATCCAAGCCAAAGATAAGGAAAATACTATGTATACGTTTATATCAAATATATTCATGTTAATGTATGTATGTACGTATGACAATAGACTTGTATACAGAAAATATAAAGAATGCCTAAATAATAAAAACAATTCAATACAAAAATAGGCAAAAATCTGAAACATATACTTTCACAAAGGAGGGCATACAGACAATAAGGATAGGAAAAAGTTCTCAATAGCATTAAATAGGGAAATGCAAATTAAAACCACAACAACATACCATTTCACACCTACTAGAATGGCTAAAATGTGAAATACAATTGTTGAGGGAAATGTGGAACTGGAGCTGATATGTGCTGCTTGTAGGAGTATAAAATGACACAAGACTTTGGAAAATTGTTTGGAAGACTATTCTAAAGTTAAAAAATACCTTGAGTTTATGACTCAGCAATTCCACTCCTACTAGGAAGGAAAATAAAAATATTTATCCACAAAAATACTTATATGAGAATGTTCATAGTAATTTTACTCCTAACAGCCAAAAACTGAAAGCAATGTAAATATCACACAAGTAAACGGATAAATAAGTTGTGGCGTATTCATCCAATGGAATTCTATTCAACAACAACAAAAGAACAAACATGCCAAAATATGTATATATCAAAAACATGATGTTGATGTAAGAATTAGATACAGAAAAGTTCACATCCTATGACTATTTAAACACAGTTCCAGAACTTCAGATGTAAATTGAAATGATAAATATGAGAACATAGTGTCCTGAGTGGGAAGGATGGGATTGAAAAAGAAAATACAGAAACATTTTATAGTGCTAATATTCTCAGTTTTGATTAGGGTGGTGCTTGTCACATGGATGTTTACATGTATCAAAATACATCAAACTGGTGACTTAAAATCAGTGCATTTTAATATATGTAAATTTTATCTGATTAAAAAATGAAACAATTAAGAGAATGTGAGAAATAATTTAAAGAGTGTTTGAAGTGATTAACAAATTAGATAGAAGTCTTGGAAAATAAAGTTGACACATTGCTCAGAACATGGAGTAAAAAGGTAAATAGATAAAAGCATACAATAAAAGACAATAAACATAGTGAATCAAGCCAAGAATCCAACAATCACCTTAAAGAGTTTCAAAAACGAGAACAGAGAAAAACAAAGGAGAATTATGAAAAATAATATATGGGAAAATTACCTATAGATGAAGGGAAACATGTACCTTCAAGTTGTAGTCTTATAATTTCAAGGAGGATAAATGAAAAAAGACTCACATTGAGACATTTATCCTAGCACCTTTGAATGCACTCATGGCAAGAATAAACTCACATGAACACATCATCATAAATTTTCAAAGCATCAAGCATACCTAAAATTTTTAATCATTCCTGAGAGAAAACAATTCAGGCACCAACAAATTAAGATCAGACTGACATTCTCATTTTCTCATGAGCAACAATGGAAGTTAAGATGATGGGGAATTCTTAGAAAATTTGAAGAAACATAATTTTGTTTCTATACCCAGCAAAACTATTAAGCATAACAGCAAAATGATAATTCAGTCATGCAAATATTAAAAAATAGAATTATCACCCACATACCTTTTATGAATGTTTCTTTAGGATGTATTCTACCAAAATAGAGGAGAAAACCAAATAACAGAAGATGTTGGGTTAAGAAACAATATGACTTACCCAAGACTTCAATGAATATAACCCAGGATAGAAGCTATACCAAAGGACTAGAATACAATCTATTTAAATTAAGCAGAAATGACTGGGATCCAAGAGGAACATCTTCAAGAGGAGAAATGAGGTGGAAGCTTTTCACACGAATGAGAGGACATGGTGAAGAAAGTACATGTTGGGAGGACTTGGTGAAGAAATCACATGCACATTTTCTCAAAAAGAAAGATAGGTAAAGAGTTAACAGGAGCGAGCTTGTGAGCTAGCAGGAACAAGCTTAGAAATGAACCACTTGACTCCGAATCCCCCAGCTAGCACTCCATCTGCAGGCTGATAAACACCTTACATCCATCACAGATGGAAACAGAACAGTTCCCAGGGGAGGTCAGTGCAATGGCAATCCCCTGCAAGCTAACAAATACCCATCACAGATGGGGACAGAATGGTTCCCGGAAGCCCCCTGCAAGCTGACAAGCACCCCACATCTTGCATAGAAAAATATAAAACCCCAGCTAAACAGAAACCCGCTTCAGCTGTCTACTCTAGACTCTGCCCCCCGCAACTCTTCTGCTAGTGCTTCTCTTTTCTAAACAGAAATCTGCGGCAGCCATCTCCTCTAGACACTGCCATAGGCATCCTCGCTGCCCAACTTTCAATAAACCTTTTCTTGTTTTCCCACTTTTTTGAGTATCGTGAATTCTTTCACATTCTGTGAATGACCAGAGGTATCAAAAAACAACACAGAAAGCAGAAAGTCCTTTATGAAAGTGAGGGTTAAAAACTACATAAGAATATGGTTCAAAAACTAAAGCACACTTAACGATGGCATAGTTATTTATTTTTTTTGTAAGTGGAGAGGAAGAAAGAAGAATCAATTTGACAGTAATAATACAAATCTCCTTAATGTAGCACAGGAATCATCAAATCAAAACATTGGAAAGGAAATGTATCACAGCATACTTCTTGGTTCTACACTGAAGAATATTTACAAAGCCATAATATGGTAACATTTTGTTGGTTTTTATAGTACATGAACAAAGCAATAAACAATTGCAATTAAGAATTATAATGTAAATATTATTAAACAACAATGTTTAAAGGTGTAGCTGAGGGAAGGTGGGAGTGGATTTGGTTTCTGCAGTGGTAAAGGAAAAGGTACAGTCAGCTACTTTCCTCATTTTACTAAATAAGGAGCCAAAATGTATTTTCAAAAGTTGATGTGAAAACAACAGAGGTTACATATATTATTTAGAATTATAAAACTAACCAATATGAAAAGTAATAATTATGGTAACTATTCAAAAATTTGGAGAAGAAAGGTTGTGGATGGTGTGGACTACCTTAAGAAGTCAATTAAAAAAAAAGAACTAGCAGTTTAACTTATTATTCAACATACAGACCTAAAATTAGGTAAGATTAAAGGTAGTTATCTCTGATGAACAGGACTGAGGGGAGGGAGACAGTGAACTGTTGCATTTTATTATTCAATCCTTCTACACTATACTATTGATTTCAATTAGATGCTTCTACCACTTGGATAACTAGAAGTCAAATAACCAAATAAAGGAAATGCAAATGATTCAGAAAAATACAACATTAGTTAGCATGCATTTCATCAGTGTTCTGCTTCAACTACCTCTTAGACCAGTGCACATAAAGGCTCACACATAAAAAAATACACATAGATTTGCTCATTTGGTGAGTGGAACAAAGCTAGGTAAAAAACAGCAGAGGTGAGAGGTTAGTTGATGAAAATCAAAAATGTAAGCAATTAGGTTGGAACATTCATTCACTCAACAAATTATCTTGAAGATCCTATTTTAACTCAGGTGTTTTTCCAGTGGCCAGGCCTAATGACAAGTGAACAAGACACAATCTGTGCCCTCAAAGAACTTGGGAGTTGAAATGACTGAAATGCGGGGGAAAGGGTAAAAAATGGAAAAGGGAAAAACGGAAAAGATGCTGATTCATCATGAATCAAAGTTCATACATTTCTCCAACGAGCGAATAAAAGTAGTCCATTTATTTTATATACTTTCTCTCAAAAAGTGTTTTCTGTCCCAAATAAAAACGGGGACAATGGGGCCTTGAAAAAAGCAACTAGTGACCTGTTGCAAACCAGAAACAAACCAAAGCAACAGTTCGCATCTGTGGTGAGCAATGGAGGGCCGATTCCATTCTCTAACCTCCTCTTTACGGAACTGCTCGAAGCAACGATGCCGTGATCACTTTCAGAGGACTCGGGACAGGGACAATACTGAACAGCAAGCAGTCCCAAGACTGGCTCTACCTTGCACTGTAGACAGGCGGGGGCACTCGCTGCACGTACCTTTCCTCTTACCTCCCACTAGCCCCACCCACTACGACAAATACAAGTGGGAAACCCAAATACCTGCCTTAGAGTCTGGGGACGCAGGCGGACACAAAGACAAGGGGATGGAGATGCTACAACAGGGCCCCAGGGCTGTCGCTGCCGCTACTGCTTAGTGCACCAGGTCCTGCACTTCAGGTGCTGCTACCAAAGAGGCAGCTCCTGCAGCGCCCGAGGCTCAGACACTGCCCTTAGCATGCGAGCTAAGTCAGCCGAAGTGCCCAGTTCGGAACATCGCCAGGGGCGCGAGCCCGGCCCTGTCCACTAAGAGATCCCCGCTCTCCCCACCACCCTCCACCCGGTCTGGTCGTTTCCTCTGACCTCACCGCTTCCGCGCCACGACACTGAGGAAAGACCCTGATGTCGGGCGTCTTGCCCCTTGCCCAAACCTGGCGACAAAATGCCGCGACCGAGGAAGAGGCGCCGGGGGTTGGCGTTCTTGGCTGAGGGCATGGAAGATGGGAAGCGCTGTGTGGCTGCACAGGAAGGGGTCGCAGATTTGGAGTTGCCGCGGTGGAACCCGCAGGCGTTCTGTACGGACACCCCGATGGGACCTTTCTCAGCGCCGTCGTGTGCGAGAGGCTTGCCCCTACCTGCTTCGGGCAGAGTCTGCTAAGGTGCCCCTGTCCGCCGATTCATGTGAGTGACGTCCTTGGAGGGTCTTGGGGTGGGCGCGTTGTGGTCGTAGGAGTTTCCTTTCCCTTACTTGGCCTCGGGAGATGAGACCTGGTCTGCGAGCGCGAGTGGGAAGCCCGCTTGCACCAGCTCTAATCTGGGCATGAGGAAGCAGGCAAGAGCTGGGGACCTTTCGAAGGAGCCAAGTTTGGAAATGGGATGCGGGGCCGAGGGAAAGGTTGCTACAGGAAAAGATACGTTCACAAACATGTGCACGAGTGTGTGTGTGTGTGTGTGTGTGTGTGTGTGTGTGTGTGTGTGTGTGAAGTGGGGACAGGAATTCCTTTCGCCAGTTACTTATTCAGCGCCCACTATGTTCCCGGCACTGTTTCCGGCCCTGGGAAAAGAGCAATGAACAAAACAGAACAAAATCCCTTCCTCCCTGTAGTTGACATTTTATAGAGGAATACACATATTATACTAAAGAATGACATATCCTATTTTAGGTGGTAATGAGTGTCGAAGAGACAAATTATAAAGCAGAGGAGGAGGAGGATATAGGTCGGAATTTTAGTGGGGCCAGGAAAGGTCTCGCTGAAAAGATGACTTTCGAGCAGAGAGCTGACACAAGTGAGAGAACTAACCACGCAGACGTCTCGGAGAAGCGCCGTCAGGCAGAGCGACCGGTCATCGCAGAAGCTGGGAAGCAGGAACTCGCCTGAACTGCAAGAAACCTGAGAGTCAGGGTTGAGGGAAGTGGCTACAGCTGGAGACAAAGTCCGAGGAAGCAGGCGCAGGTTAGGAAGACTTGAGGGCACCTAAGCTGTTGGAGGGTTTGGAGCAGTGGAGTGTTGTTATTATCTGACTTTTTAAAAAGCTCTCTCTGGCCATTGTCGAGATAGACGGAAAGGGGCAGGGTGGAAGAAAGACCATGCTAGGAGGCTTTCGCAGTAATGCAGAGAAGACATATTGATGGCTTCCCGAGGGGTGGTAAGAGATAGCCAGTCGGATTCTTAGTGTTCTTAATTTTCACTTGTAAGAGTATTAGTGGATGGTGAGTTAATTTCCTCTAACTAGGTTTGGGAAAGTAAAAATGAGTTGTAGTGTGAGCTTTGGAGTGACAAGTGAAAATTATGGCTTTGCCATTTAATATTTGAATGAATTTAGACAAGTCAAGTTATGTAATTTCTCTGAGTTTATTTATAAAATGGAAATATCTCACAAAGTTGTCAGGGTTAAATGACTATGTAGTGTGCCCGAGTCTTTAAAGTAGTGGCTATTATCAGCTGCGTACTTGGATAAAAAAAGGGAGAAACACAGTGGTGAGCGCACCTGTGGGTGGGAAGAGGTGATTAAATCCTATTGAAGAAAATCTGAACCAGGTAGAAGATGACCCTTTTGTGTGGCAACAGGGCCACGGAAGACCTAGACATACCCCTCTTAAAATTTTATGCACATGACACTGGACAGAAAGGTTTTCTATGTCAATAGCCGTAGTATCTGAAATATATTGACTGTCCTCTCATAGCCATCCTTTAAAACCTCCAGGACCCCTAGTGCCCTCATTATAAAGGGGAAGAAGACTGTCTGGTGAGTAAAGGAAAAAGAAGAATAAATACAAATTTCCAGTTATAAAATAATTAAGTCATGGGGATGTACAGCATGGTTAATAATATTGTATTAACATTTGAAAGTCGCTATGAGAGTGGATCTGGAAGGTTCACATTATAAGAAAAAACATTTGTAACTGTGTGGTGAAAGATGTTAACTGGTCTTTTGTAATCATTTTACAATATACTGCATACAAATATTGAATTATGCTGTACATCTGAAACTAATATAGTGTTATATGTCAATTACACCTAAATAAAAAAATTAAAAATTAAAGTTTTAAAAAAGTCATACAGCTAATGAGTAGCAGAGCTGGAATTTGAATTCATTCCCTCACCACACACTAAAATAAATAAAAAAGAACTTTCACAAAATGCATAGTTATGTATCCTCCTATATTTTGGCAAAGGCTAAAAGACCCTTGGAACTATTGGCAGTTGCCTCTGTTACATATTTTGAGTGTCTCTGGGATGCATTGTTCTCAAAATATTTAATTTTATTATTTACCTTTTACAGTTGTGACTTTTGACTCATTTTAAATCGTAGCAGCAGTTTTACCCTAGTTCTAGAAAGCACTATATTGTGTAGAACTGTAATAAGGATGTTCTCAGAGTGTGGTAACTTGGCAGTTAGATTGCAAAGCAAATGGAAGAAGTTTGGAACGTAAGACTAGGGATGATGGTAGGAGAAGAGAGAAAAAAGTGATTAAAATACTGTAGTTTATCAATTTTGATATGCACATTTTTTCATATTTACACCTCTGAAATGTGTATTTTATAATAGTTGATGTCTTAAAATCATTATGGACTAAGTGGAAGTCGCGACTTAGTTGTCAATGCCTGCACTTATGCGTGCCTAGTCATAACTGTTAATATTGTCATCAGTTCAGTTGATTTATGTGCACTGTTGAGATATACTTGTAGAGCTTAATCTCCATTTTAAGTATCATTTAAAAGATGAATTAGCATTAAAATGAAGTTGTGTATGCTGAAATACAGGAAACAAGAGTGATATAAAAATAGGGCTAAATTTAAGAGGTCTTTCAATGAATGATACAGGGCATGACTAAGTGATAAGAAAAAGCATTGGGTTAGTTAATCAGCAGTGTTGTCATCTTAATGATACATAAAATAATAGAGCATCTTGTGATTGGAGCCATTTTACAATTGATAGCATCTTAGATTTGATGAAATACAGTACTAAGAGTATCTAGCAAAAATATAAAGTTTTACCTAATTGCAGTTCTGAAAGCGTGAAATTAGATGTTTTGGAAGTAGAGAGACACTTTCAAATTTCTGTACATTTCCTATACTATAAAGTAAAATTTTAAACCTGCACTTAAAACTTCCATTTCAAAGCAGTAGTTTACTTGTTTATATTTGGGTCCTATCATTGAGAGCCTGGGACGGGGAATTTGTTCAAAGAAATTACCAGCTACTTAGAATCACAGTGGGGGAGACTACCAAGGAAATTGCTGAGGTAAAGGGAAGCCATTTAGAAATGGGAATTTTAGAAATAATCTTTTATATGTGTGTTTTAATGATTAAGATGTACTCTAAATTCATGTATTTGATAAAATCAACTTCAGCTTTTATAAAGTTTTTATGTTTATAGAGTATCTTACAGTGGCGTTTTAGGTTTGATGCAGTATGACTATGAATGTTGAACAAAATGTGAACTGGCAGAATAAATTAGATAATACTTTTCAAAAGTAGTTTTGAAGACTCATAAAAATAAATATGTTCATTTTATTTTTTTAATTTAGTAAAGGAAAAAAAGTCTTGACTCTCATTAGCCAAATACAAATAGCATTCTCTTGTACTGTTTTCTGTGTCTTTTTTGCTCTATCTAGATGTTTTGTATTTTTAATTACTGTGCATGCAGTTAAGTATATTTATTTTAATCTCATAATCTTTTTTTTTTATTTTAGCACAGACTAAGCCAGCATTCCCATTCTGTTTTAGAGAATACCTGGTCCAATGAATATTAATAGGTCTTTGGTTAGGATTCCATGGTTAAATACATTGGGGAATGTGTCCTAATTATATCCTTTAGAGAAATTATAGCTTGAGCATTAAAAGAGGTGACTCCAGAAACAGACATACCTAAGTTTCAATTCTCATTTAGTAACTAGTCATATGACCTGGTGCAAATTAATTGCAATTCATGTTTCCGTCTCTGCATAATGGAGATAATTACAGTATTTATAAGTGATCTATTTAAAGTATTTTGCCAGCTCATAATAAATGCTCTACAAATGTTACCTATTATTAATATTATCATCTATGAGCAACCCTATGCATATTACAATATTAAAAGCTCTGAGGAGTCCAAGGAAACTTATAAAGTTTTGAAATTCATTGAGTACCCAATGTAAAATTGAAAATCATGTGGAGCAGTTGGCACAAAATAGTGAAATGAGCACTGGGTTGAAGGTAAAAGATTTGGATTTGTCTGAGCCTTAATCAATGTTAAACTAGCACAGTTGCCTTAAACATAACCTCATTTTTTAAAAAGTTCTCCAGTTTACTGTATTTACCCCATGTATCTGAAAGCTTTATAAGAACATGTTTAAATTTGCTGTCTACTATGACCCTAGCACACGGCTCAGAACCATGGACTATAAGTAAAATTAAAGTCATGAACTTCACGGGGACTTGGCAGGTAACTTAAATGGCGGACTGCAGGGAGTGGTGAAGTCTGTTTTGCTTTGCTTAAAGGCATTTGCATTCAGTTACAGACACTAACCCTGGAACACAGTGGCAACCCTGATCTGTGTAGTTGTCAGTTATAACCCCCAGAAGAAACTAGAGATCAGGAACAAACCCTGAAGAACACCCACATATGGTACAAGTCAAGAAGGAGATGCCAAGAAAGTAGAAGGTGAAATCAAATGATAAGTATCCTCATTTTATAACTTAAGAAAATGAAGCATAGAGAAATTAAGTAACTTTACCAAGGTCTCACACAGCCTGTTAAGTATGTGATTCAAGCAAGATTTGTTGGCTAGAAATACTTAAAAACCAAACACTGTATTCTTCTGCCAGTACTAGTAATCGTTATCTGCATGTTACTAGAAAACACTGTCGTAAACTTACGCATCCTACTTATATTTTTGAAAAATCTAAATGACAGTTCATCAGCAAGTACTAGGAAACCTGTTTCCAGAACTTCTAATTTTTAAAATAATAAGTATCTCTTAGTATTTGAGAAAAGTTTTATCAACACTGAACTGATGAGAAACTAATCCAAAATATCTCACAAGAATTATTTTTAGTATTGGCATCATGAATAATATTGCCAATATAACCAGTTATCTAGAAGTAGAGAAAAATTAGACGCTGGTTAGTAACTACTGTGTTTATTTATAGACATCCTTAAGATTTGTTTTGCTTTGAAAACTTGATTATTGCCAAAGAAATGACTGTCCTAAGATATTGATTGTACTTTCCTCTTTGAATGAGACTTAAATAGACTTTATTTTTTAGAGCAGTTTGAGGTTCACAGCAAAATTGAGCAGAAAGCAGTAATTTTTTTTTTCCTTCCCTTAAACCAATACAATTTATATCATCCTGGTAAAAAAATGTTTCTCTTGGTATTCTGGCCAGTTGCGTGCCTTTGGCAAATTGGTATGTATGGCTTCTGGATTGCTTTGCCTTCTGAACGAGAGCTGAGAACTGTTTTGCCAGTTCTTAGAAGACCTTCACAAAGCATTCAAACTGAAATCTGTATGCCTTTGAGTGTTCCTTCTTTGTATACCATTGTTCAAATAATCTCAAGTCTGTTATCTTTAGAGTTTCCAGTTATGATGACAGTATCTATTTGTAGGGAAAAGTGTGCAGAGATTTTCAGTTAGTTGCTGTTTAATTGTATTCCTGAGTCCAGGAATCCTTAGATATATTTTGTAATAAACACAACATTTAAAATTAATGTAAATATAGTAGTAATATCACCTGCATGGATTATATACACTCACAAAGAAGTAAACAGGTAGCGTAGCCAAATTAGGTACATTTTTAATGTCAGTATCTGTAATTTATTATTTATGTTCTCAACCCTTAAGGGAAAGAAAAAAAAAACCCACACCGAGTGACCTAGAAATTACTATGACATAGGTAACCCACTAGTGTGAGCTTTCTTGAACTTGGGGAGTGTGTGTGTGTGTGTCTGTGTGTCTGTGTGTCCCGTCTTTTTGTGTCCCAAAGTTTTGCTAGTGCCTGACATACTGTATTAGTTCTGTGTCAAAATCTTAAGTATTACTCATGGTATCTCATTTAGGCCCACATCAACACTATGAGATATATTAAATCATTTCCATTTTACAAAGAGAAAACTGAGTCTCAGAGAGGCTAAGGAAGTTGTTGAACTTCACACAGCGTTAAGTAGCAGAGGGGCAAAGGATTTGATCCAAGGTCTGTGTGATTTCCAAGTCCATGTTCTTTTTTATTAAATCACTTTTATTACTCTTGTAATAAGTTCTTAATATTCTAATTAAAGGAGGGAGTGATAATAGTAAGTACCTCATGGTGTGATGATTAAATACTGTGAAGTGCTTCGGAACGGACCTGGCAGATACTAAAAATACAGTAAATACTAGGCATTATTACTTAATAATACTTATCAGGAAATTCAAAATGATTCTAATATTATCCATAATTATTTTCTAAATGAATGGTTGAATAGGATCACTCATCCCTCTCTAGTCTCAATATTTTAAAACTTCATGGCCTAACTATGTGGTTTCCACTAACATTTCTCTGTTGCTAACATTATCTTTTTTTTCTTTATTTCTAATGTTTTGTCTAATCAATTTGGTTAGAAATAAACCTGTTTTTACTGAATATTTCTGGTGATACACATTTCTCAGTCCAGATTTTGTTTACAATTCACAGTTTAAAACTACCTAAATCTAAGCAAGTATTTATAAACTTATAGCCAAGTATATAGAGTATACTTACTTTATAATATGCTTATATATTATAATTAAATAAATATGTAAAATATACATATGTAGCATATTTGTGTCCTTCAGTATTTAAAGTTAAAGCATAAGAATTATCTAAAAGTTGGATGATTTTTACATGATTTGTTTGTATTTGTGAAAGAAATAGGTATGTACATTTGACTTACTATTTGGTAACCTATTATTTCCTTTTATATGTGTGTAAGATGTGTTTTTTATTGAACATTTTATTGACAAAAAATTTATGTAGTTACTTATAAAGATGTTGTTCAAACTAAATTTATTAGCTGGTCTCCGGCCACACTGGAATTATTACCTAGTCTTAACTAGCAGTAATACTTTTTGTGTTTTTAGTTTGTGATAATAATACTTTGCTTTAACAAAAAATGGGATGGCAAGTCTTAATTTTATGTTTCCTAATCTCTTAACATCTTCAGAAAACTGTGATTTTGTGGATTTTTCTGATACCTCTCATTTATATTTTTTTATAAGTATTCAAAGTTTTGTCATTTCCCTTTATCACATTGTTTCCTCTTACACAACACATTGATATGTATATGTGTATAATATAGTCAGCTTATCGGTGTTCCTGTGTTTTAAAACATGGCATCCTTTCTTCCAAAACTCATGCCAGTGCTTCAGTGTGTTATTACAGAAGTCTTATTTAACTTATTTTGTAACTGTATTTTGCAGATACTTAATCGATTTGTCAACTCAGTAAAATTATATATTTTTTTTCTTTTAGTATAGGATTTATGATCTCTATTTTGCAAATTATTGTTAATCTTAGTTTTGAAACATTTGCGTGAGTTGGCATGAGTTTCATGTTTTGTTCTGTCAGCAACTCGACTGGTATTTGTAAGAAGACTTTCTCAGACTGTTGGCGAATTCATGAAAACTACTTTACACTTACTACTTCACACTTAGCTCTGTTTGTTTCTTATCAGTTAGGATACTAGTTTACTAGGTGTTTTTTTTTAAGTATATCACTAATTTTACATTCATCTTACTGTTCCTCATTAAATTTTTTCTTTGCCAGAGAAGTAAAAGTCACAAATTATGCCAAATGAAATATTCATTATTTTACTTGTGTGTGATAGCTGTATTTCACCTATTGAATATATTTGATCATAGCTTATCATAGGCTAAAATAAAAGACATTAACCTACAAGAATGCTGTAGCTTGGATACTAAAAGTTCAGAAGAATGTAGCTTTTTTACTTTACCGTTTTTCATACGTCCATTTGTGTTTTTCTCTAAAATTTTGGCTTTGCAAACATTTGAGGAACAAAAACAGGGTATTCTGTTAAAAATTTGCAGAATTTAAGAGGTGATATCCTTATTTTCAGTTTTTGTAACTTTCCCCCCCTCAGTATTTTTCTAATCTGTTATATAATGAGCAGTTTTCTATTATGTCTTTTCCAGATTAACCCCCATTTATATTTTCTTTATTTACTAGCAACTTTATTTTTATAGGTTTTTTTTTTATTGCTTCTATATCATAAATTGTCAACTTTAACATGAAGGTTTTTGAGGGTTGGATTTTTCTTATAAAAAAAGCTAAACATTTTCAGAATGTTCTTTATAGGATGGATATTGCATAATAATTTGAAATTTTAAAACAATCTTGTTTTTCATTATTAGCCAATTTTTTAAATAAAAATTTCACCATTGAGTGCATCATTTATTTAAAATCACAATTATTTCAGCAATGTTTGTGTCATTGCTATACTTTGGATTATAAATTACAAATTGAATTATAAATTGTTACACTCTAAATTATATAATCAGGTAAAAAAGAGCAATTTGTAGTATTGTTCATGATTAACCCTGTCTTTTGTTAGGGTGAAATATTTGGCAGTTTAAACTTTAACATGATGAATTAATAATCTTGGAACGTTTGCTTATATTTTTCTGCACATGACAGGATGTTTTCTATGAATTACTATAAAATTAAAATTCTAATAATTTTTTTAAAAAGGGCACAGTGTGTGTGTGTGTGTGTGTGTGTGTGTGTGTGTGTGTGTGTATATATAGATATAGATATACTGACATTAATTCTGAGTAGGCATATGATTAATATTGTTTTCCTAATTGTTGATCTTTTCCTTTTAATATTTGTCTTTCATAATTACATGTTCCTCCTTAACATTGTACATAATGAAATAAACAGTAGAAATATCCAACATACAAAAGTAACATATAAAGAAGGAATCAGCAGTTTTCTTACTTTGGAATACAGATGTGGTACCCATTTTTTGTCATAATATTCCACAGTATTTTAAAGCTTTCTTTAAAACTTTCCAACCTAAAATGTAGTTAAATAGCATGTTTCTGTACTTAGGAGAAAAATTGATTTCCTCTCCCAGATTCAGGAATTAGTTTATTTAACATGCCTTTGGTTGTTTGTAGGAAAAGTGTTTTTCTAAAAACATTGATCTGTTATAATAGAAAATGTTTTTCTTTTCAGACTGCTTGTTCACAATGTCGTATACAATAATTTTATTCCTTTCACAGTATAATTTATCACTTTTACTTTTTCTTAGGTTTTTCTGCCGTTTCTTGGCAAAAATGGCAAACAATGATGCTGTTCTGAAGAGACTGGAACAGAAGGGAGCAGAGGCAGATCAAATTATTGAGTATCTTAAGCAGCAAGTTGCTCTTCTTAAAGAAAAAGCAAGTAAGAAAATTTAAAATTTCCTAAGGAGATACTTAAAATGAATTAATGTATTAACAGACCAAAAAATAAATGTGTTTACCACAAATTATTACTTCATCTTGATAACTTAGATTCCTTTAGTATTTTAATTTTGAGTGAAATGATTGTCTATGATTAAGATAAATTAGAATTGTTATGTGGTAAATGTATGATATGAGGTGATACATAGAAAAAACAATGTATTTCGAGACACTGAAGGAAAATTAATGTTTAAAATAAATTGGCATAGAATTAAACATTAAAAATCAAGAAAATTGGGTGAAATCAAATATGAACTGAAATATTGCTTCTAACTTGGTATAGAAGAGAATGTATACCTTCATATTACTCTCTAATAAGGTATTTTCTGAAATGATTTTTAAGATTTTCCCAATGCTATAAGTTTTACCTAGAAATTGCTGATTATATGTGTTAAAATATCAAATCTGAATTTCTGCTTTTAGGATTTAGGTTGATGTTTGTTTTGTTGAACTTTATTTTTCAGTAGCTGATGTTAATATCATAATGAAAATTCCAAAATCTTTTACCATCACTAATAAAAATCAATGTTTTTTTCTGCCATATAGAACTGTGAATGGCTTGCAGAATCCTACATTTTTACTATCCAAAATTTTTCCTTTTATCAATTAATTTTTCTTCTTAATTTTATAATACTATTTTAATCATTTATAATGTTTTATAACATTTTTTCTTATTATGTTTCCTAAAAACTTTAAAGCATTTAATTTTTTTTTTTAATTCTTAGTATTTCTTCCCATTAGTAAGATGAAGAAATTAGAGATAAGTGCTTCTGTGTGATAATAATGTATGTTATAAACTGAATTTTTTTCTCATATGGGTGGCCACTTAGTATCTTGGCTTGCATTTCAATGTTTCATATAAAAGAAAAAGAGCCTTTCTGCATTTGTTGTATGTTTATTGTTCACTTTTTTCATTTTTTTTGTCAGCCTATGTTGGTGGTTCTCTGTCCTATTGCTCCAATTTTAAAACAAATATTTTTTTAAATCTCTTTTAATATCTAGTAAATAAAATATTTCTTAGATAAAATAACCCACATATACTCATAATTTCAAAACATATTTTAACCCTGTATATAATATAGAGGAGAATTAAAAAGAGTAACTTATAAGTAGTAGTAATAATAAAAATGTGTATTTCAGTAAGTAAATTCTTAGGCAGGGCTGTATGTTTAGGATTACTTCATGTTTATATACAAAAAATGGGATCTAAGCTCAAATAATTAACAGTATTTTAAGCTATTTAAATATACAGTAGGCCAATGGAAAATACTATGGGATATTAGACAGTCCTTCATTTTGCAGGAATATCTAGGATATTGGAGAACGTTTGGCATCCCTGCCTCTGCCCAGTTAATGCCAATAATGATTCCTATTCTTTGTGACAACCAAAAACTCTCCCTCAGATTTTCAAAATCTGACCTAGGGAAAATTCCAAGCCCACTGAGAATCATTGTTTTTCTTTTATTTTTTTGTATACCCTATTGCTCACCTTTAACACATATATTATATTTTGAGTAAATCCATGAAGTTATTTCACTCATTGAATGTTTGACCAGCTTAACTTCTGAGACATTAGGAATAAAGATTATTCAGCTAATTTTGCAAGGTAATGACAGAAAAGAGAGACTAGGTATTTATTGTTTGATGTCATTATTAGGTCTCATATTTCCAAAAAAAGTAATTTAATATATCTAATACTTGTCTCTCTCACAGTTTTTATCTGTCATTGACACTTTGAGCCAGGTTCTTATGTTGTCATAATTATCTTTATCAAAGCTAGGAAAATGATTCATAAATAAAACATTTTATGTTCCACTATTATTTCACAGACTTTCTCCCTTTCTCTCTCTCTCCCTCTTTTAAATATCATATTAGATTAGTAAATACTAAACTCTGTTAAAAAGGAACTGCCTAAATATTTGGTTATTTGTATTATCCTAGTTATGTTTATACTGGTTGTGCTCTCTTTTCAAGTAGCATTCATTAGAAACCTTTTAGAAAACACCGCTATACTTAACTGGATTTTCTTGATTCTAGTTTTGCAGGCAACTTTGAGAGAAGAGAAGAAACTTCGAGTTGAAAATGCTAAACTGAAGAAAGAAATTGAAGAATTGAAGCAAGAGCTAATTCAGGCAGAAATTAAAAATGGAGGTGATTAAATGTACAAATGATAGGTTGTTTTCATTTAAAATAATACTTATTAGGTATTACGCTTGGTTTCTCATCTTAGCCTCACAGCAGCCCTTTTTGTGCACTCCTCCCCCTTACAGAAGAGAAAATGGAGACATAGAAAAGGCAAGTGATCTTGCCCAAAATTATGCAAAAACTGGCAAAGCTATGGTGCAAAAATCTATGCTTTTAATTTCTGTACTACAACTTGATCATCACTGTTCCCTATTGAATAGTTATTGAAAAGAAGCCATAATAATATTTAGTTAACACTTAATAAGTTTTACTATATGACAGGCACTGTGTGCCAAGTGCTTTACATACATTGTATATGTTATTCTTATACTGTGTATACACAAATGCCCATGTTTTGTACATGAGGAAATTGAAGCTTAGAAATTAAAAGTATGAAATTGTACAATTTTTAAATTATCCAAGTGGGAAGATAATTATCATTTCAACTATTGTGTTGTAAATAAAATTAAAAATTTTAAAACTTGTTTTAAAGGCATCTAAATAATTTTACATTATAATAAAACAATATAGTAATAGTTCTATTACAACGTCAAAGAATCATGCAGAAAAACATTTGATTGTATTGGAGAAAATCCTTCCTAGGTGAGTTAAGGAAGCCCAAGTACTTCCTTTTGACCATTATTCTATCAGCGAATTATTTTGAATGCTGTAGTGTGAATGTAACTCTAGTGAGCTAAATAAAAATAAGACAAAATATGTATTCTTGAAACTGTAAACTAGAGGGAATATCAATGGAAAATTTGAGGCTAGTTGTTGTCCAAGACTAGGGGATTTGGAATACAAGTACAGAATTAGATAAACAGTTAAAATATTAGCAATAAAAAACAGCTTTTTATTTCTCCCAGTTTTAGAAGATTGCCCTGAAGCATTAGACTGTACAACTGATCTTACTGAAATGCTAAAACAAGTCAAGTGTGAATTAAAGTATTCTGTCTAATGGTAAAACATAAAATAGGGATAAATAGAGCTTCACATTACTAAAAAAAGCAACTAGTCTCCACGGCTATTAAAAAAAATACCTCGGAAAAGTGGTCGGAATATTAGCCAGAATGTAAGACACGTCAAAATCCCTCACAAGATTACTTTTTCCCATATTTAATAGGCAGTGAGAATGTTTTTAATATCACTGAAGGATTTTCTTTGTTTCTTTAAAAAGTTGATTTTTGAAATAGAATCACGGACAAGTAATGCTATCACTCCATTAATTCTGATATAGAAATGACTATTATTAAGACTCCTTGCCAGTTGATTGTTTAATATAAAAGAAAACCTGCGTTAAAAACATGCCACCTTGCCAAACCATGTGAGTATAGTCTCTAGAGACAGACTGCTGAATATAAATTCTTACTCCTACTCACTGTGTATAGGGGGGGCCAATTTCTTGACTTCTGTATGGCTCAGGTTGATATCCATAATGGGAATTTGAATAGAACTTACTGTTTAGGGTATTTATAAGCATTACATGAGTTAATAAATATAAAACATTTTGAAAAGTGTCTGGGATATAGTAAGTCCATAATAAATATTAGCTACTACTGTTGCTGTCTGTAATTTTCTTTGTTTAGTCATTAGTAATTAAATGAGAATTGTGCATTTATTCTTTTATCATGGTTAAAATACACTTAATTTCTTGGCAGCCTTTTTACGATTTCAGATAATAGAGACTTGATAATGCTCATATGCAGTGACTTTGTCTTTTAAAAAGAGTTCGTATTTGTGATTCACATTTTCATGGTTTTCATCTTGTTTGTTGGTTAAATATAAATGACGTTTATTTTATTTTCTGTATCAGTGAAACAAATACCGTTTCCATCTGGCCCTCTACTGCAAGGTGATTCCATGGTTTCCAAAAATGTGATGCAGTCTGTACCATTAACAGCCATATCGTTTGGTGCCAAAGAACAGATAAAAGGAGGAGGAGAAGAAGAAAAGAAGGTGAAAGAGAAAATTGAAAAGAAAGGTATTTAACTTTAATGTTACTTGGCTCTTGACTGGCTTATCGGATCTCAGCATTTTGAATGTTAATAATAATGTCAAAAAGAGTTCAAACTTCTATGAATTATTGTAGAATAAAGTTAGGAGCAATATGTTATTGGAACATAGAAGCTGGGCCCCAAAGGATGTGTGAAGGTTGACCAGGTCGACAGGTATGTGGCATTTGAGGTAGAAGGACCAGCATAACTAAAAACGTCGCAAGTATAGATTAAGTGTAGATGCCCCTGTGTGGTTTGATATGACAGAATTTTGATGTCTGTTTCAGAGATAGTTTCAGAGAAGTCACAGGTAGAAAGTTAGCTTAGGACCAGTTATGAAGATAGGAGAAGGATATTCCAGTCAAACCAGAATGTCTAAACTAAGGCATGGGGTGTTGAAATTTTAGGAACCCACGCGAACTGAGGTAGAAAGTATACCACCATCCACTTAGGCAACCAGACTAGAAATCTTTACATCAACCTTTATCTGCCCTGCTTCATCAATTTTCATATCTAATTGGCCACCAAAGGCTATAATTCCTATCACCAAAACATACCTAGAACCCAGCTCTGTTCTTCCTTTTTGCTAGGTGTTACCTTAGTTCAGGTTCTCCATCTCTCACCTGAATTAAAACCTCATCTTTTTCTAGTTTATCTTTACCTTGCTGCTAAAGCTATAGTTCTAATCCTAAATATGATTCCTTTCTTTATCTGTTCTACCTACTAGACTTCTTTTTCCCAGGCATAACTAAAAATGCTTTTATAATTCATTATACATACCTCTCATAATACTTACACTCATTTAAAAATGTTTGCAAAATATAAAATGGTTGAGGGATTTGTGAACTAACCTAAACTAATTTAGCATCTAATACTTGTTAGCTCTTTTTGATAAACATCTGTAGCCTCTATTAGAAGTATTGGGTTGTCAGAAATGCCATGATGTATTTTTCTATGCTTTTCGTTGTAAAAATGCATCATGACTTATTCTGACAACCCAATGATAGGGGCCATGCATCTCCGATGTAACTTCATCACTAGGTTGTATAGTTACAATGAAAGCGAGTCAGACTAATTTTTCCACTTTGTAAAATTTATTAACAAGTAAGCACAAAACAATTATATAGCATTTTCTAAGTTTGGTACAGTCCATACTCAAATTTAAGTTGCATTGTTATTTTGACTACAGAATCAGTCAACCTCCTACTCAAATGAGACCCCAGAGTCCTCCTTTGTGGGTGGAAGGAGCATGCAGACCAAGTGGAGCTCTGGGTCTAGAACACTTCTGTCCAAGGGATGTTTCTGTGATGATGGAAATCCTGTGCAGCTGCATTACCCAGCACAGCAGCCAATAGCCACACCTAGCTATTGAACATTTGGACTGAATTTTTAATTACTTTAAATTTAAATGTAAACAGCTACATGGTGGTTGTCAGCTACCATATTGAACACTGCTGGAACAGAGAGCATAGGATTTGGCTGCTAGGATTGCTAGATTGCAAAATTTTGCTCATGCAAGGATGTGTCCATACAGTCTTTCGAGACTGCCACATATAAGCATAACTCATTTGTGAATGAGATGTTTCTAAAACCCTTATGATGACTAACAGAGTTCTTGGTATAGATTTTAATATTTTTGATCACCTCTGGAATGTGGATTCCTCATAAAGGTATTTCACATGCCTAGGAAATGGATTGAATTTAAAAAATATATGTGGATATAGATACATTGTTCTCCTGCAGTTTTTCAAAGTAAACATATAGTTTATCACTGAGATAGTTTATCTATTTTATAAACTATTGTATAAATTTTGAATGTCATTTACACGATTTATAAATCATGAATTGTCTTTTCAGGCAGAATTATTCTTCTCTGCTTCTATATTTCATTGTGTAATGTTCATCACATAGTCACTAATATATCTATCTTCCTTATAAGAGATATGCAGTGCCTTGATAGCATAGGCTACTACTCACCTTAATATTTCTAGTGCCTTAGATCTCAGTAAATATTTGTTCAAAGATTAAACAAAGGTATAGTTGAGAAGGAATGCTTCCAAGCCACATTCCTTATCTCTACCCTGCAGATTCGAAGGTAAATAAGTTTTTTGTTTACATTTCTTTCTTCTAGAGTAGCTAACTCGAACTCTTTAGAGGTTGCATTTTGACACAGTAGCTCAAGTAATCATATGCTAATAAGAGTTAGATTATCATCATATAAATAAAAGCAGAATTTTGAAAATATAATCAGAATAAAATATTATCTTCTGCTCAAATAGTTGCTGTGGATAAACCTAAAGCTCTAGTAAGTCTTTAGGTAAATAATAAGAAATGGAGAAATGTATGATATACTTACTGGTGTGTTTGATGGGAGAAACATTTTATCAATGAAATTATATTTTGATTGTAGTTTATCCAGTTGGCTGTGGATTGTGTTCTTCCTAAATATAGGTTTTTTCACTTTCTAAAGAGTCACAGTAAAAATTTTAAAGGATTAGGGCCGGCCGAGTGGCTCAGTTGGTTAAGAGCTCGCTCAAGAGTTTGAGCTCTGAGCAACAGCGGTTCGAGTCCAGCCCGAGCTGAGCAGCCGCTGAGCTGCCAACAGGTAGCAGGATGGCTCAGCTACAAAAAAAAAAAAAAAAAAAAAATTTTTTAAAGGATTTTCTACAGCTCTGTTTCGGGGAAAAGCAAGCTTTCTCTGTAAAGGGGCATTTAGTAAATATGTTAAGCTTTACAGGCCATAAAGGCTTTGTCACAGCTATTCAGCTCTGCTGTAGTGCAAAAGTATCCATAGGCAATATGTAAATGAACAAACATGGTTGTGTTCTAGAAACAGCGTGCTGGATTTGGCCCACAAACCATAGTTTACCACCCTCTGCTCTATGTCTTTAAGTAGAGATACTTAAAGGCAGTTATTTAACAGAAGTAGCTAAAACGGTTCGAGATGCTATGCCTTGCACAATTCTTTCCTCTGTTCTTTAAATGAAGGTAGGAGAGAAACACTTTTAAGCTCATCGGTATCCATGCTGCGGAGTTTTTCATAGTGTGGTTTTGTTTACCTTCTGATATTTACTCATTCATAAATATTTTTTAGGAGAGAAAAAGGAGAAGAAGCAGCAGTCTCTCCCAGGAAGTGCTGACTCTAAGCCAATAGATGTTTCCCGTCTGGATCTTCGAATTGGTCATATCATCACTGCCAAAAAACATCCTGATGCAGATTCTTTGTATGTAGAAGAAATAGATGTTGGAGAAGCAGCCCCAAGAACAGTTGTCAGTGGCCTGGTGAACCATGTTCCTCTCGAACAGGTAATTTGTACAACTCAAATTACTTCTGTAAATACGTGTCACTTTCATTTCCCCTTTCGTTGATGTTTTCCACACAATTTTGTATCCGATGACCAAACAGGAGCCAGTATTGATTAGTTCAATTGATTAATATGAATATGATGAATTCCACCAAAAAAGCACATAAAACTATCAAAACTGCAGTTTTTAATGGCATTCCTTTAGTATTAAAAATTGGGTGTTTTGTATTTTATTATTACTTGTGTATTTAAAAATATTATATATATAAAATAGATAGATAGATACATCTACCTATATGTATTTCCAGTGACAATGGAAAGGATTAAAGAGAGTCACAGTTTTTAATTTGCTCTTTCAAGATGTCTTCTATAGTAATTTGAGTCATGCACCTATTTCCTCTGCCCCAAGAAGCTTCAGAGATTTTGCAGAGACTGTAGACTTCAGCATTAAGATTGTTCTGCCTCCCTGTTCATTGCCAGCTCTGTTGCTCGTTGGCTTTGTGAACTTGGACAAATCTCTACCTTTATTCATTCATATTTCTAGATGCAAATATTTATTGAGCATACACCTGTGGTATACACCTGTAGTATACCAGAAACTGTACTAGACAAAGGGCATAGCAGTTAAATTAAATGATAGATTTGTGTAAAAAAAAAAAAAAGAAGTCCTGCCTTTGTGAATCACATTTCTATAGGGTAGTCAGAAAATCATAATAGTATAGTATGTTAAATAGCAATATCAAGAAAAAAATACAGTGAACAATGTAGGAAGTACTGAGGTTAGGATGATGGTGTCATTTTATATGAAGTAGCTCGGGAAGTCCTCATAAAGAAAGTGACATTTAAGTAAGGCCTTAAGAAAACAAGTCATGTGTTTATCTGGTGAAAGCACTTCAGGCAGCTGAACCATGTATACCTGAGATTGTCACAATATCAGGAGTTGGTGTCACTTTGGCAGAGTAAACAATGGGGAATGTCATGTGAGATGAAATCAGACATAAGTTTGCCAAAAGAGTGTAACAGATCACTGTAAAGACTTTGGCTTTTATTCTGAGTGAAATGAAAGCCACAGGAGGTTTTTAAGCTAAGGAGTAACATAATCGGCCTCATATTTTTTAGGTCATCTGGTTGCCCTGTTGAGGGAGAAAGATGGAATTAAGGGGGTCAGTGAAGAAGTTTCACTTATCTATGAAAAAGTATATATAGATTTGGCACGTATATGTGCATTTTTTTTTTAACATTCATCTTGTATAGGACCAGGACTTCTTCATAACTACTTATGAAGGTTGGTTCTTAAGCAGTCTTGGAGAAAAGAACCAGCTGATCTTAAGTCAGTTAAACTGGAAAAAAATCCTCCTCTTCGGGACTTCATCTTCTTTGTTCTCACAAGTTGCAGACTCTTCCAAAAATTTTCATTCACAGCCATAAGCAAAGCTGTTTATATACGCATCTATATCTAACCCATCAAGACAGCACTAGTAAGCATTCTCTAAAGCAGGGACATTTAGCCCCCAAAACTGCATACAAATATTTGTAGATTTGTGTATTCTAAGGTAAAGGTCCACAGGCACCATCTGATCCTTAAAAGATTGCATCTAGCTAACCCTGTTGTTTTTCTTAGACATAATTGCTATAACTTTTTTTTAAGTTCTCATATATGTGGGATTTTCAAGTTATTTGTTGAAGAAGAATGAATCATGAAAGACCTCCAAAAAAAGGGGGCCATTTGAATTTGAAACTCAGGCCAATTTTTTTTTTTTAAGTATAGTTGACATACAATATTATATTAGTTTCAGGTGTACAGCCATTTATATATCGGGTTGTCGGAAAAGTCATGACGTATTTTTTCTGTTTTTTGTTGCAAAATTGAGTCATGACTTTTCTGACAAACCAGTACCTTACCATGTGATCAACACAAATAAGTCTAGTAACCATCTGTCATTGTACAAAGTTACTACGATACTATTGACTGTATTCCCTGTGCCGTATGTTACGTCCCCATGACTTACTAATTTATAACTAGAATTTTGTACCTCTTATTCCCCTTCACCTTATTCACCCATCCCTCCACCCACCCTCCTCTAGCAACCATCCGTTTGTTTTTTGTTTCTATGAGTCTGTTCGGTTTTGTTTGTTGATTTGTTTTGGTTTTTTAGATTCCACATATAAGTGAAATCATATGGTATTTTTATTTGCCTGACTTATTTCACTTATCATAATATCCTCCAGGCTCATCCATATTGTCACAAATGGCAATGTTTCTTTTTTTTTCTTTTATTGTTGAATAATGTTCCATTGTGTATGAATACCACATCTTCTTTACCCATTTATCTATTGATGGACTCTTAGGTTGTTTCCATATCTTGACTATTGTAAATAATACAACTATGAACATGGGGGTGCATATATCTTTTTGAATTAATGTTTTTTTTCTTCAGATAAATACCTAGAAGTGGTATTTCTGGATCATATGGTAGTTCTATTTTTAATTTTTTCAGGAACTTCCATACTATTTTCCATAATGGCTGCACCACTTTACACTCCCACCAACAGTACAGGAGGGTTTCCATTTCTCCACGTTCTTGCCAGCACTTGTTATTAGTTGACTTTTTGATAATAGCTATTCTGACAGGTATGAGGTGATAGCCCATGTGGTTTTGATTGGTATTTTCCTGATGATTGGTGATATTGAGCATCTTTTCATAGTCTGTTGGCCATCTGTGTGTCCTCTTGGGACAAATGTCTATTCAGGTCATCTGCCCATTTTTTAATTGAATTGTTTGTTTTTTTGATGTTGAGTTGTATGAGTTCTTTATATATTTTGGATATTAACCCCCTTATCATTGCAAATATCTTTTCCCGTTGAGTAGGTTGTTTTCATTTTGTTGATGGTTTCCTGAACAGTGCAAAAGCTTTTTAGTTTGATGTCCCATTTGTTTATTTTTCCTTTTATTGCCCTTGCCCAATAAAATATTGCTAATACCAGTGTGAAAATGCTTACTTGTCTATATTTTTTTCTGGGAGTTTTGTGGTTTCAGGGCTTACATTTAAGTCTTTAATCCATTTTGAGTTTATTTTTGTATTGATATAACAAAGTGGCCCAGATTCATTTTTTTTATATGTCTATCCAGTTTTTCCAACACTATTAATTGAATAGATGCATTTCCCCATTGTATATTCTTGTCTCCCTTGTCCTAGATGAATTGACCAGATATTGTGAGTTTATTTCTGGATTGTCTATACTGGTATATTGATCTTTGTGTCTGTTTCTGTACCAGTACCATACTGTTTTGTTTACTATAGGTTTGTATTGTACTTTGCTATCATGGAGGGTGATAACCTCCAACTTTGTTCTTTCTCAAGATTACTTGGCAATTCAGGGTATTCTGTGGTTCAACCTAAATTTTAGGATTATTTTTCTAGTTCTGAGGAAAATGGCATTGGCGTTTTGATAGGGATGGCATTAAATCTGCAGATTGCTTTGGGTATTAAGGCTATTATAACAATATTAATCCTTCCAATACATGAGCACAGTATATCATTCCATTTTTTAATGTTGTCTTCAGTTTCTTTTATCCATGCCTTAAAGTTTTCAGAGTACAGGTGTTTCGCCTCCTTAGTTATTTTTACTGCTAGATATTTTATTCTTTTTGATGCAGTAGTAGATGGGATTGTTTTCTTGATTTCTTTTTCCTATAGCTTACTTTTAATACATAGAAGTGCTACATATTTCTGTATATTAATTTTGTATCCTTCAACTTGAATCAATTTTTTTAAAAGTTTTCTGTGGAGTTCTTAAGGTTTTCTACAAATAGTATCATGTCATCTGCAGTTGGTGACAGTTTTATTACTTTTTTTCCTATTGGGATGCCTTTTATATATTTTTCTTGTCTGATTGCTCTGGCTAGGACTTCCAATACTATGTTGAATAAAAGTACTGAGAGTGGGCATCTTGTCCTGTTCATGATCTTAGAGGAAAATCTTTCAGCTTTTTAATGTTGAATAAAATATTAGCTATGGATTTGTCATACAGTCCTTATTATGTTAAAGTATGTTTCCTCTATATCCACTTTGGTCAGTTTTGATCATAAATGGATGTTGGCTTTTTGTCAAATGCTTTTTCAACATATATTGAGATGATCATGTTTTATCCTTGGTTTTGTTAATGGGGTGTATCACATTGATTGATTTGTGGATATTGCACCATTTTTGCATACTCAGAATAAATCCCACTTATCATGGTGTATAATTCTTTTAATCTATGGTTGAATTTGGTTTTCTAATATTTTGTTGAGAATTTTTACATCTGTGTTTATGAGGGATATTGGCCTGTAATTTTTTTTTTTTTTTTGGTGGTTTTGTTTTCAGGATGCTGCTGGACTAGTATATGCTTGGAAGCATTCCTTCCTCTTGAATTTTTTACAACAGTTTGATAAGGATACCTATTAGTTCGCTTTTGAAAAAGTTTGGTAGAATTCAACTGGGAAGCCATCCTGGATGTTTGTTGGGAATTTTTTTAATTACTGATTCCATTTTGTTACTAGTAATCAGTCTATTCAGATTTTTTTCTTTCTTTGGTTCTTGGAAGTTTATACATTTCTAGAAATTGACCCAATTTCGTAGCTTGCCCAATTTGTTGATGTAGAATTGTTCAGAGTATTCTTTCATGATACTTTATATTTCTGTGCTGTCAGTTGTAACTTCACTTTTATTTCTGATTTTATTTATTTGGACCCTCTCTTTCTTGATGAGTTTGGTTACAGGTATATCATTTTTTGTTTATCTTTTCAAAGGACCAGCCTTAATTTCATTGATCTTTTCTATATATAATTTTTAATCCCTATTTTGTTCATTTGTTACTCTGATCTTTATTATTTCCTTCCTTCTAATATTTTTGGGTTTTGTTTGTTCTTTTCCTGGTTCCTCAGGTGTAAAGTTAGATTGTTTATTGTGATTTTTCTTGTTTCTTGAGGCATGCCTGAATTGCTGTGATCTTTCCTCTTAGAACTGATTTTCCTGCATTTTATATTGGGTTGTCAGAAAAGTCATGACGTATTTTTGTATGTTTTTTGTTGCAAAAATGCATCATGACTTTTCCAACAATCCAATAGATTTTGGAGAGTTTCATTTTCATTTTCATGTCTCAAGATATTTTTTTATTTCCTCTTAATTTCTTCTTTGACTCATTGATAGCATGTTGTTTTGTCTCCACGTTTGTGTTTTTTTCCAGTTTTTTTCTTGTAATTGATTTCTAGTTTCATATCATTGTGGTTAGAAAAAATGCTTGTTATGATGTCAGTCTTCTTGAATTTATTGAGACTTGTTTGTGGCCTAACGTGATCTATTCTGGAGAATGCTCCACATTGAAAAGAATGTGTCTTCTGCAGTTTTGGGATAAATTAAGTACATCTGATCTAATATGTCCTTTAAGACCAGTGTTCTCTCAATTGATTTTTCTGTTCAGATATCCTAACTACTAATGTAAGTGAGGCATTGATGTATTATTATTGTAATACTGTCAGTTTTTCCCTTCATGTCTGTTAATATTTGCTTAATATATTTAGGTCCTCCTATGTTGGGTGTGTAAATATTTCCGAATATCCTCTTCCTGTATTGACCCTTTATCATTATGTTTTGTCCTTCTTTGTCTCTTTTTACAGTATTTGTTTTAAAGTCTGTTTAGTGTAATATGAATATTGCTAATTCAGCTTCCTTTTTGTTTCTATTTGAGTGGAATACTTTTTTCCATCCCCTCACTTTTAAGTCTCCATGAGTCTTTCAATCTGAGGTGACTCTCTTACAGGCAGCATAGTGATGGGTCTTGTTTTTTTTATCCATTCAGCCACCTCACGTCTTTTAATTGGAGCTTTTAATTCATTTACATTTAAAGTAATTTTTCATAGGTATGTACTTATTTCCATTTTGTTAATTGTTTCTTGGTTGTTTTTGTAGTTCTCTGTTCCTTCTTCTGTTGGTTTCTTCCTTTGTGGTTAACTAGTTTTATCTAGTGTTATGTTTGAGTTTCTTTCTCTTTATTTTTTGTGTATGTATTAGAGGTCTTTGGTTTGTGATTACCATGAGGTTCATAGATATTGACCTGTATTTATAGTAGTCTATTATAAGCTGATAGACATTTAAGCTCCAAGTATTTTAAAAATGTTTTGTTTTTACAACTCCTTCCACACCTTATTTTTGAATTCATATTTTAGATTTTTTTGTTTTGTGTATCCCCTTGCTATTTATTTATATTTGATTTTGCTACTTTTGTCGTTTTAACCTTTTTATTGGCTTTTTAAGTGGCTGATCTGTCTTTATCAAGCAAATATATATATATATATATATATACATATATATATATATATATATATATATGCTTTACCCGTGAGACCTTTTCTTTCATATATTTTTTTCTTGGTATGATCTTTTTTTCCCACTTAAAGATGACCCTTTAACTTTTCTTGTGAAGCTGAGTTAGTCATGATGAAATACTTTTTAATTTTTTGCTTGTCTGGGAAACATTTTATCTCTCAATTCTGAATTATAACCTTTTGGGTAGAATATTCTGGGTTGTAGTTTTGTTTTCTTCAGCACTTTAAATATATCCTGCCACTCCCTTCTGGCTTATGAAGTTTCTACCTAGAAATCAGCTGTAGCCTTATGGTTTTTTCCTAGTATGTGACTAGTTATTTTCCTGTTGGTGCCTTCAAGCTTCTCTCTTTATTTTTAACTTTTGCCATCTTAATTACAATGTATTTTGGTTTGGGTCTCTTTGGGTTCATCTTGTTTGGAACTCTGTCTGCTTCCTGGACCTGGATGTCTTGTTTCATTCCTCAGGTCAGGAAAGTTTTTAGTCACTATTTCTTCAAGTAAGCTTTCTGCCCTTTTTTCTCTCTCTTCTCTTTCTGGGATCCCTGTAATGACAATGTTAGCGTGTTTGATCTTGTCCCCCAGGTCCCTTAAACTGCCCTCATATTTTTAACTTTTTTTTGTTTTTTACTCACTTGTTTAAATATCTGAAAAGCTTTGCCTGTGTTCCTTCAACTGTAATGCACTGTCATGTTGTAGAATTTTTTTTCATGTTTGTATAAGGCTTTATAACAACAATCAAAGGTTTAGACACACAGAAACAAAGATTCATCCTCAAAAATAGAACATGCTGTATTTAGTATATTAGGTGTACCTTGATATATTCTAAGTATGATCATTCCAAATTCTATACATCTTAATCACCTATTTGTTCTTCACACAGATGCAAAATCGGATGGTGATTTTACTTTGTAACCTAAAACCTGCAAAGATGAGGGGAGTACTATCACAAGCAATGGTGATGTGTGCTAGTTCACCAGAGAAAGTTGAAATCTTGGCACCTCCTAATGGGTCTGTTCCTGGAGACAGAATTACTTTTGATGCTTTTCCTGGTAAGTATTTAGTAGTCATTATTTAAAATAGTTTGGGAATTATTATCCTCAAAATGGTGCTTATAATGTTTAAGTTTAAAATCAATCCTGAGTATGACTCACTAGGCTTTACATTAAATGATCATTATTATTGAGATTGTTGCAATTGGCTCAAGGTGGCGTATTAAACATAATCATCTAACCGTTCCCCTCCTCAAGAATGTACAACTTAAATAAAACACCAGAGACAGTTTTGCCTTAGGTAAAATACTAAATATAACCCCTACGTAGCACAAAAGTAATATGGGTAGAGAACAAATTAATTTGCTGTAAAATCATTTAAACTGTAGATTATCTCAGAATGCAACACAGAAATATTAAGAGATGAAAAGTGGGGAGGGGAAACATATAATTCTCCAAGTCGATCTAATAATATACTGGCATATGCTTTTACTTGACTTTAGGATACAAAGAAAATCTCTCTAAGTTAAAACATATTTATTCTAATAATCTAAAAGGAAGTTTCATTTTATATTGCTTGTTTTCTCCAGTAAAATGCTCCTGAGACAGATGAAGCTTCATAATGCATGAGAAAGTTTCTTCAAATGGGTCTTTGAAGCAAAAGAGAAAGGATGCTTGGCAGATGTAGAATACATTTCTTTTATAAAGAGGAAGGACCTCATAAGAGGAAAAACAGTTAGAAATTAAAAGACTGCATTTATTTAAGGGATATCCATTTGACTAGAATAATGGGAAAAGCAGGAATAAGTTAGGGTAACAAGTAGAATTAGGTTTAAAAGTCAAAATTGATTTGGAGACATGTTTGTAGAAACAGCTGAGTTTTAATGTAACAGCAAGACTGATGTGATTATTAGGCATGCTTTTTTAATCCTATATTAATTGTGTTTTATGAAATATTAATATATGAAGAATTTTAACATTGTAATAAGATAGAAAATGTGGATGAAAACATAGGTTAATGTCCTTGAAACTCTGCACCCCCCTCCTGATCAAAAGTAGACTAATCTAGAATACACAGGGATTGTTTAACAAGTATCTCTGACTTTGAATGCATGTGTATGTTGAACCTTGGTAGATTCAAAACCATAATGGTCTTTGCTTTTTGTAGTAAATTAGGTTTTGGGAAAATCCCAGTCTGAATAATTTCTCAAAGCAGTATGATGGTTTTAGTTTCTAAGAACGCATGATTATCACTCTTCTGCCACAATATCAAAACAGTTCCCCAGAAGTCACATTTTGGAGTAAGTGATCATATGTATACCTGACAAACGTGAAATTCTATTTAGAAGTCCCATTCACTAAGTTGGAATAGAGCAACAATAAAAGGGAACTTTTTCTTTAAGATTCAGTATATATTGGGGAAAAAAAATCTTGATTTATGTTTCCAGATTAACATTTGCCTTCCTTTTTATTCAAATACTTAAGATTTAGTACAGTTTTTGAAGTTTAATTTTTTGATATAAATTTTAGTGTCACATGTTTAGAAATGGAATAAGTCTACTTTAACCCACTATTTTACAAATTTGGAAACTGAGGCCTGACACAATTTAGCAACTTGCTTAGGTTATCTAGAGTGAGTAGCAGGACAAACAGTAGATGTGCCTGAATCTCTGTACTATAGCATTTTTGTTTGTTGATTTTTGCTTACTGTGAATTAATATGGACTCTTTCATTAATGAAGGCATATAGTTATTTCTATGATAGCTTTCATTTCCTTAACCTTATAGAATTAACACGTAACTATTTCAGCAGTTGAGTCATTGTTATTATCTGGATGTTTCTGTTAAGTAAATTGAAAGAAAGTTTTTCTATAGATAGTCAGTGACTTAGCACTAGAGACAGTAATAGCCCCATACTGATTTCTTGCCTTTATTATATTCTTCAGTCTCTTAGTTCGGCTTTTGGTGTGCTTATATTTACATTGTTCCAAAGTCTGACATTTCTTCCAAATTTATAGTTTTCCCTTGTGACTTACCACATGAATATGCAGAGAAGGTACCAAAAATACGTGTAAAGTGAAAGTAAGGGAAATTCTAACTTTAAAATGGCCCATGAGGTTTCTTGAATTATTTTCTTGTCACTTATAATAGGCTTAACCAAGCTGAACAGCATTGAATAATTGATAAATTTTGGGATATAAGGTCTGTTAATACTCATCTTGCTTATGCTTCCACATCAGTTACTGCTTCTGTAGCAGTTAATCTGAAAGGAAATAACAGTTAATACTACACAACACACCATCAGTCTTATTGTTTTTGCTTTTGTTTCTTTTTCTAAAGAGAGCCATGATTTATCAGTGCTTTATTTTTCAGCATCTGTTTTACATTTTAGAGCTTAAGGTATATGCTGGTCCATTTTGATGTTTACTTGATGTGCTCAGTGTCTAGAGATTTACATTTCATGATATATATATTAAGTGTGGTATAGAAATTGGAATTGGGGCTCAAACCTTTGAATTGCTATTTGGCCTTGGAAGGCTTTGTACTCAATTTTTTTCTCCAACTACAGAACCGAAAACTTCCACAGAGTTTAGAAGGTGCCAAATAATATTTTTATAACATAGCTAAAAACCGTCCCCACCCAATACTTTTTTTAATCCTAAATGTGTGAAGCTATAAATTTTAGTATTTAAATGTGGTAACTGGTCCCTAAAGCACCAAGCAAAAATAATTTGAAAATAATATTATAGCTAGGAGACAAAGGCAACGACAGCCGTTTTTTGGAGAATGAACTGATTTTGGTCTAAAAGTAAATGTGAATTTGCATTCAGACTTGCATTAACTTCCAAGACAATGCTTATTTCAATTGATATTGAGTCTTATTAATAAATATAAGTTAATGATTTAATCCCAAAGCATGTGTGCACTTTTGGATCCATTTATTCTTTAAAAAACAAACAACTTATCTATATTTAATTCTCTCTGAAAGCCATTTCATATCAGCTTTCTCTCTACTATTCCACCAGAACTACTCTGGTCAAGATCACTAATTACTCTGTAAATATCTCCAGCTAAATGTCCACTGCTAATTCTCATTCATTCCCTTTTGTTATCATTATTATTATTAGTTTCAGGTGTACAAAACAGTGTAATAATTAGACATTTACACCCCTCACAATGTGATAACCCCCCTTCCCCAATTGACTACCTATCTAACATGGTTTATAGCTGTTACAATTCCAATGACTTCATTTCCTATGCTGTACTCCCCTTCCGTGACTATTTCCTTTCTTAATTAACCTGACTTCTGGCATCACACTTTCCTGGTGGTCCTCCTGCTTCACTGCTTCCCTTCTCATCCCCTTTACTGATTCGTCCTCACCTCCCTGACCTCTGTTAAGGAGTGCCACAGACCTTACCTCTTCTCTTTTTCTTTCCACACTTGGCCTGTCTGTCTCCCTGTCTGTGTCTGTCTGTCTGTCTGTCTGTCTGTCTGTCTGTCTCTCTCTCTCTCTCTCTCTCTCTCTCTCTCTCTCTCTCTCTCTCCCCTCTCACCCTCTCTCCCTCCCCCCTCCCACACACACACACCCTTTTTTCTCACATGATTCTTTTGGCTATTTTATCTAGTCACTTATCTAGCTGCCTAATGTGTCCCAAGGAAGAATACATATCCCAATCTTCTCCCTATAATTCCCTTTCTCCGTAGTAATTTCCATCTCATCTGACTGGAACTCCGTTTTCCCAATTGCTTTTTATTTTCTCATGCAGGTTCTCCTTCAGAAAACCATAATGGCTGTACCTTCTGAACATACCTAGAGTCATTGTCATCATCTCAGCCACCACCACTTTGGTCCTGGTGCCAACATCCCTAAGCTAGATAATCGCGAAAGCCTTCTAACTGATCTCCCTGCTTTTGCCCTTACCTTCTATTTTCAGTTATGGTAGGCATAGTGATATAGGTCTGATTATATTATTATTCTGCTCAAAACTGTTTAAAAAAAGGTTTCCATTTCACTCAGAGTCCAAGTCCAAGTTCTTACAGGGCTCCCGTTATCTCATTAACTGCAAGTACTCCAACTCGTCCTCAGTCACTTCAGTTGAGCCACTGGCCCTTTCCCCAGAGAGCTCCATTGCTTGATCCTTCTGAGATCTTCCAAATGTCATCTTTGTTTTATTTTTCTCCAAAACACTTACCATCTAATATACTGTACATTTTTATTGTCTGCCCACATAAATATGTAAGCATCATGAAATCAAGACTTTTGCCTGGTATAGAGTGGGAGCTCAGTAAGTTATTTAATGAGTAAGTAGAAAATACTAGTAAAACAGGAAAAAAAAATTTGAAAACAGGTCTTTTTCTGTTTCTGCCTTCATTATTGCCAAGATCATTCCTATCGAAGCACCAAACCACTTTCCTCTATTGATTAGCTTTGTAAAATTAATTGACCCCTACTTGAAAAGTTACACTTTGTGCCATAAGTGGCAGTAATTACAATTATTATAGTTCAGAAACTCAGTTAATCGAACATAAGTGCTAGGTTTTATTTTGGCCGTTTCAGATAGCAAAACAGTGAGCATTCTATGCATAGGACTAGCCCAATTAAAGTGAAGTTTTCTGGTTCTTATTCTAGACTTGTGACTGCCTGGGACTCTGGAATTTGAAGTGCTTTTTGTCGGTTTTAGGTTTTAAATGCTAAGAAGGTGGTCACAGCTTTTTACATCTATACAGACTCATCTCTGAACTAGCTCCTATTCCCTGTGTGTTTTGTTAATATGAGTTAGCCTAAAATAATCTCTAAATGATTAGTTCTCTTACAATATGTGTAACCATTTCCAAATGGTGATTATTGGCATGTGTTTAGCAATTTCAGAGGCTCTGCAGTTTTTAGCTTTAAGAATTTTTATTGATATCATCACTTACCTTCTTTACATAACCATGCCAAAAAAAAAAAAAAAGAAGAGAGAGAGAGAGAGAAGAAAGGCAAGAAAATTAGGAAAATAAGACTTAGAAGAAGGATACAACACACAGGAATGGTGAAAGACTTCTCTGGAAAATATAGTTCATTAAAAAAATTGTTTAAAATATTAGGTATATTTTCCATTTAAACTTTTCAAACTAGCTTTATATCGTACCAAATAGTATATTGTTCAGAAATGAGAAACATACTCAGTAAGCCAGGAGGTTAACGCTGCATCTAAAATTTTCAACTCTGACTTATATTCAATGATCATAATGTGACATGTTTTAATCTCAAATTTTAGTCGTCTATACCATTGGTTCATTTATTGATTTGTTGAAGTCTTGGAAATACATTCAGAGTGTTCAGGTATTGAGTCTTGTGTGTGAAAACAAAAGTTAAGCTTTGGAGGTTCCTCTTATTAAATGTTTCTAGTTTATTTTTAGTTCAAATCTTTGTTCCTCGAAAATCAGTATAGTCTTATACAGGCAGTTGAAAACTTTCCGATCTTGGCTTCACAAATGCTCGGTGACCTGAAAACCTTTCTGAGGCCCAGCTGTTTCATCTATAAGAATGGTTTTTAGGTTTTTTTTTGTTTTCAAACATATTAGTAATATTTTCTTTATTAATAAAAGTGCTTTTAAGACTATTTTGAGTTGATGAAGACTATTTCTTGGTAAGAATGGGTTTTTAGTTATACTTATTTCATGTGGGTTTTGTGAAGTTTAACTTTTAAAACACGTAGCTACCTGCCTAGTATTTTAAGTTCTTAGCTGTAACTTTTGTACCTCAATTCCCTCCTCTATAAATTAGGGGTAATTAGTTGTTTTTATATAGTGTCCTGAAAGGATTGAATAAGTAAATATATGTAAAACGCTTAGTACAATGACTGGCACATAGTAGGCACTATATAAGCGTTATATATTATTATGAATATTATTTTGTATACATTTCAGTATCTTCCTAGATCTAAGAAGCTTAATTTTCTGCTATGCCACAGATTTTTGTACTCCAGGCTTATGTTTGTATTCCGGGCTTATGTCTGTGTGCAGCAGGAATTGGTCACACAATTTATGTTCTTGATAAGAAGCTTTTACATATATCGGGGACACTCTGCTTCTTGATTTAATTCATTATCAGTTAAGCAACATCGTTTTTCAAGGGAGGGAATTCAGTTAGTACCAGGCCTCCCTGAAAAGCATCTTTGCTTCCATCTTTTCAGAATTCTGGAATGCCACTTCCCCGCGTGATCTATGCATAAGCAAAGTAGATTATGCTTAGACTAGGAATAGTTTAGAAACAAAAAATAAAAATCTTGTAGATACTTTATATATTGTTTTCTCCTATTCTGTTTATTGATTAATAATAATTAATGTCTAATCAAATGCTCTTAAAGGAATAAGAAATCTTCACTTGTATACTAGTCAGTCTTTGAGTTTTAGTTTCACTGCATGATCTTTACTGTAAATACATCATTCAGTTAACTCTCTGTCATCTCTGAAAACCTACATATCAGAGGATAATTTTGTATGTTCTTGCCAGTATCGTGGCCATTTCATGAAGGGCTAATAAAAAACAAGCCACCATGGCCCACCAGTTTACTTAGTGTTGTTATTCCTATGTATGTGTGAGTGGAGAATAAACACTAGATGATAAGATGTAATCAGAATATAGAATATAATTAGTTCCAGTAATGTTTAAGCAATTCTTTTTAAAGTAATTCCAAGAGATTTCAGCTTTGGGGTCAGTTAAAAAAAGATCTAGAAAGTTATATTTCTATCATTACTGAATTATACTTCAGTAATATTCTTTTTATTACCTCCAAGAAAATAATTTTTCATTTGAAGCTAATGCTTAAGAGATGAATTACTTTTTGGTTGTTGTTTCTTAAACTGATTCGTCATTCCAAATGTTACTGAGTATCTCCAGCTCCTAAAATACTGTTATATTAAACTTTATTTTCTGCTTCCTTATCCTTCATTAAGAAGAGGGTTTACTTGGTATATTGGTGGTCTTGAAGCCTAGACAGATATTCTACAGTGCATTTTTCTTTGATTGATTGATTGTAAACTTGATAGTGAGAATTACTATAAAAAGAGGGGACAGGGCGTTATCCACACACGTAAGAGTGTTATTTGATTCTTTTGTAAAGCATAGTTTATCAGGAGGCAAGGTGCCGTACTAGCGGAATAAGGGTTTTGGTGTCAAATCCCAACTCCATTTGTTGATTGTGTGACTTTGAACAACTTACCTTCTCTGAACCCCATTTTCGTTATATTTAAAATTAAAGGCAATGTTGTGTGAATTACATGCAAAAACATATATTTCTGGTTCTTAGAAAATGCTATTCTTGTCTCTTTACTACCCCCTTCTGTCTCTTTCCATCTCACCAAATGGAATGGGCAGCAAATGAAACCCAAAGTAGTTAAATTTCACTAGGTAATCCCAACGTTTAAGCCATTTCCCAGTACAGTAAAACCTTGGATTGTGAGTTACGTGTTTTGCGAGTGTTCCGCAAGACAAGCAAACACTTCTAATACATTTTAATGTGGTAAACTAATGATGTCCTGCAACACGAGTAGTTTGTTTGTTAATGCTCGCAGACCAAGGTATTACTATATAAGAAATCTTTAAACACTATAGCTGCAGTGTAGTCATTTATTTTGTATGTTGAAACATATAGTAAAACATAAGTGGCTTCTGCCACATGTAAAAAAACACATCAAATTATATGCTCTCATCTCTTCACAGTTTTTCTTTATGAGTAGCTTATATTTTTATCTTAATAATTTGGGGATTAAATTCATTGACCTTTATTACCAAAAAAAATATTTATTATGAAAGTGAAAAAGAATATCTTTAATATTTTAAGGAAATGACAAAATGTTTTATTTTACAAATCAAGAATATAAATTGTTGACATAAAAATAAAGCAAATGTTGCAAGTACATGTTGAAACTCTGATCAGGTCTAAAGATCAGAAAGTACTGCCAAGACAGAAATGTCGATGGTTAATTTATATAATATGTTAGTTATTATGTAATTTGACTTTTCCCCAACAGGAGAGCCTGACAAGGAGCTGAACCCTAAGAAGAAGATTTGGGAGCAGATCCAGCCTGATCTTCACACTAATGATGAGTGTGTGGCTGCATACAAGGGAGCTCCCTTTGAGGTGAAAGGGAAGGGAGTGTGTAGGGCTCAGACTATGACCAACAGTGGAATAAAATAAAACTAAATTAGAACGCTTCCATGACTGAAATACATTGGAAAACTTTAATAACAATAAAAAGAAATACATGTGTCACTTATTCCTAAAATGTAACTGGCTCGTTTTTGTGTTATTTCTCTTCTAGACTTGACTAGTCTCTTACCTGGTATATATTATTTGCAATTGATTAGAGAGGCACGATGTTTTTACCCATGGATTTTGATCCTTTATAATGTAGAGAAGAAATGGCCTATGTTTTGTGATGATTTAGTTTTTAGCAGAAATGTTGGTTAGCAGATTGTTCTTTCTTTATGCATTTTTAGATAACTTGAACTAGATTAACATTTAGTTTCTTGTTTATAGGCACACAATACATGAAATTTCAAGCCCTTGGATTTTTAGTATATTGTATGTGTGTGTTATAAATGTCTTCTCTTCAAAAATGATGTTAGAATTTTTGTAAGGTTTATTAGCTAGTCGTATTGTAATAATATTGAAAATGAACAACTGTTGATTTTAAAGAGCCAAGCGTCATAAAAGCTAGGAGATGTGGCATTTGAACATTATTGCTGTTGCTTGCCAAAGTAACCCAGACTTGTATATTTAAGGCAACTCTTTTGAAAGACTGAAATTTTCAACTGTGTATTGAACTTTTCTTTCCGTTTAGCAAAGTAATTAGTAATAAATTTTGACTGTGAAGCATAAACACATTGCAGAGTATTCCCAATGTAGTTTTCCAATAAATGGACCATTAAAAGCAGCAGTCTTATTTTTTTATTCTAGCTGACTTTAAAGATTCTTTGGGTACTAAGAAGAGATTATTTATAACTTATTATCTTTAGAAGAGCATTTAAGGTTGATATCGTTTGCTTTTTCATGTACTACCGTACTGTGAATATATTAAAAGAAGTGGTAGCCCAAAACTTAATATACACCAAGGTGCCAAATGCCTATTTTCACTCATCTTCCAGATATTCCAGGAACACTGAAAATTAACTTAAGAGTTATTAGCTTCAAGTTCGCCAGCCTTGAGATGATGACTGATGATTTGGGCTACCAAAAAAAAAGAAATGCATCTATGGAGGTAGGAGTATAGATATTATTTGAAAGAAAAAAAATTCCAGCACTATAGTTACTTATAGTCTCCAATACGAAGGAGGGGCAAAACAAAAAAAATTTAAATCCTGCATGCCAAGTTATAAAAGGCATGAATAAAATTCATTTATTTAAGCCCATGGAGTTCTGGTAGGCCGGGACATGGTACCATAATAGAATTTTATCTTCTTTCTGAAAAACTGAGTATTAACAAAGCATTGTTAACATGTGTTGATAACTAAACACAAATGAATTTCCAAAGTTATTTTGCACTCAAGATCCATTATTCTTTGGGGAATAAAGACTGTGACAGTCTTTTGTGACTCTGTATTTTCCAGTTTTTCCCAATTATATCAGATTTCTTTAATTCTAATATAATTTAAAGAATATTTTAACCACTTAGGTAGTTGAAATATGTATTCCAAATTCTTCAAGTTACATAAAAGCATTATTCAATCAAATTATCAGTTTAGTCCCATTCAGTTGTTATTTGTTAAGAAAATTTAATTCTGTCTTATTTGTATTGCTGGGATCAGAGAGCTTTTATGGAATTAACAGAAAGGGCATTGTTAGTGAGCCTGACTTAACTCTTCTGG